TGTTGGTTCCTAATCATTGGGGTTGGGGTTATTACTGTAAGATCTTAGATTCTATAGAGGTGATAAATTCCGGTTTTCAAGTTTGGTTTTGGATCGGTTAATTCTGATTTGGTGTCATTGGTAAATTGGTTTGGTCTAGATGCCAGTTTTGGTTTCCAATATCTATTCAATAGTGTTTATTCACTTTTCCGAAAATAGGTTTTATTGTTGGTTCGGGATTTTTCAAATTCATGTCAATCTCACGTAAATATTGCATTCAAGGGAATAGAATAATAAATAATAAATTTAATGGAGAATTATTGTAAATTGTAGTTACCAATTTAATGGAGAATTTGTGTGTTACTTTTGGTTGTGAGGTAAGGTTGAATCCAAAATATATGTACTGTGATTCATTACTAAGTGAATAAAAAAAAAAAATCTTTACCAGGTTGATGTTTTGGATCTTTAATCAATTTTTTTGCCGGATTTAGAATTTATTAATTTTATTTAACAAAAGTTGTATCCAAAAATTTTAAAATTAAATCCGGATAGAATTATTAATTATGTGGTTTGAATAGGATATAACTTCATAGCATTCAAATTTTTGGTATAATGTTTACATTTAAAGAAAAATGATTTTCTATGTAAATTGGTTTTCAAATGATTAATTGTTGTTTAGTCCATAATCCATGATAAGGTCAAATATACCTTATATTTAAATTATTACTTTAAATATCTGGATTTACATAATAATTTATTAAATTATAATCTTTGACTCAGATCTCGTATTAAATTTTGCATACTCTGAAAATTACTATAGTTTTTACTAAATTGTGTATAAATTCATGGAGAGTAACCTTTTTTCTACATCTCATCTCCTGAAATCATTTTTGTATTTCTTCTCAGCCCTAAAATGAATATTTTAAGGGCGGTGTTTCGTTGGTTAATTAGAGAAGAAATGAAGGGCGAAGATGTCAAATATGATGACAATGACTGCCTCCTCAGAAGCAAAACCTTATGTTGGCTCAATGATTTACCAAAGGAAACTTTCGAGGTGAGATATTTTCTTTGTTTTCTTTGATATATTTTTTAAAATACATAATAAAATGCTTGGTAACCGATGGTACCTGTAACATTAGGTTGCATAGTTCCATTATTGTTAATTTGTTTTTGGATCGATTTTTCGTTTTTTTTTAAAACATATTTGTTCGGGTTTAACCTAAATTAAATTTGAAGTCATAATCAATCCAAATTTAGTTATATAATTCTAATATACTTATATCATTTCATTTAATTTGATTTTTTTACATCTAAAGCGGATTAGCGACACCTATGCTAGATATGTAAATATATTTTTACAGTTTATTTTAACATTGCATTTTATTTTATTTTATAGAGAAATTGTGAAGAGACGAAACCAGAACAACCGCTTCCTTGGCAGAATTGATGTGCAAGGAATTATCGGTTGGCTGGATAACGTGCAGGTGAGAATAATGTATTTATAATTGATCAACAGAGTTTTCTTTTTCACATTGATTTTTTTTTTTAATATTTGGGTTGTTATATATAAAATCTTTTAAAGAATTTATAAAATTATATATATTTAAAAACGTTTTTAAAATCTTCCGATATATCGATTGTCGATTTCTATTTATATTGATTGTTTAACTGGTTTTATTTTATTGTATGATATAAATAGCACAATGATAATGTTATATGTTTGTTATTCTTCCGGTTATATGCATACAGTTGACTGCATATATATATATCTTCGAACATAACCGATTATATATATATATTTTTTAAATTTTCAATTTATGATTATCTTTTTCCTCCCATACAATCTCTATTGTTGCTTAAAGTTTTTTTCTATTTATTTTTTGGGAAATGGTTTCCAACTTTTGATTATAAAAAATTACTGCTCGCATTTCTTGTAACTTCAAGTAACACATTCTCCTAGTTTCTAGAATTTATTTTTTCCCCATCAAATTTATAACCTTTTTCTTTTACTTTTACTCTTATTTTTTTTTTCAAATGTGACGGATTTTACAGTTTTTTTTCTTGTTCTTTGATTTTTCATGTTTCATATATATATATATATAATTGCTATTTTATTGTAATTATGACCGTACAGTTGTAGCTGTGCTTATCGTCTCAATAGCCAAAGCAACGAGGTTGCCACATGCAGAGGAAGGGCTTATCAATTTATACACAACATATTACGACGACATGAAAAATTCGTTATGCTTAAAAAAAAAAATGATTGAATATTGTTTTATGTCAATATGTACCATTAAGTTAAAAAAAAAAATAAAAACTTCTTCACGGAGGATTTATTTAAGTAATAAATGTGTCATCTTCAAACGGTTAGAAAAATAATTTTTTACATCAAATAAATAAATTAATATACAGAGTGAGCATTTAAAGTTTCAGTCAAAGAAATGGTGAGGAAGACTGCTCTGGTGTCCGTTGTCCATACCATATGTAATTTTACGTGTATTTATTTAAAGCTTTTTTTTAATAATGAAGGTATTATTTACGGATAGTTTGTATTATTATTTTTTTGTTTATTTAATGTAATGTTATTATGATGATTCATATATCCAAAAATGCGATCCTCTGACGGAGAAAAGTAAGAACACGTGATGGGGGCCCCATTGGTTGCTTCGTCTAAATGTCCAACATCTTTCATCACAAGTCGCAGAGAAAAGACCAAAAATCAACCCTGTTTCGAAATAAAATTTAATTTATATAATTTTCCAAAATGGTGTAAAAAGTTAATTAGTGTGAGTTTTGAATTTGTGAGTTATTTTAGCTTCCCAAGTTGGGGTCCGAGCCTCGAGGGGCCGACCCGTGCCTGGGGATTCAAATACTACGCCCTGAGAGGTGTCAAAGCCTGCTCCCAGACCGCAACCCCTCCCGACACCGGCTCCTTTGGTTCCGGAGGAGACCTTAGGGCATATTATTGCCATGCATGACATCGGATTATATGCCCAGCCGGTCGTTTCTCCCCCGTCTATAGCCTCAAAGCTTCTCTTCTCCACACCGGAGATGACCCACATCAAACGGATCTTCGCTGCCGGTCACAACTCCACCATGGAACGCATAATTTTGGAGGCCTTGAGCGACCGCGAGATGCCTCCGAGCGCCGGCGAGACAAAGCGGTGCGTGGCATTGGCGGAGGCCATGATCGGCTTCGCGAAGATCCGGTTGATGTGGGTGTGTGGAGAATGGAAGCTTAGCTATATAGGGGGGTAGAAACGACCGGTTGGGCATATTATCCGCGATGTCATGCATCGGAAGTCTGACCTTCCCCTCCTTCCGGAAAAATGTGTCGGGTGGAGTAACAAAGGAGCCGCTGTCCTTCATCCGATGATCTGGTTTGATTTTTTTCCCCCCCCCTTGTCAGAGGTTTGGTAAGGAAGAGAAACCTTCTAATTCTCTCAGAGGGTTAGAAGTTCGGTCTTGGTAAACCGAACTGGTTTGAGATTTAGGGTTGTTACAAAACCCTTCTTCCTTCCTTTTTTTCTTCTGCGACTATCGTGTTGGTTTTAGCAGAGAGCTGGTCTTCTTCTTCATGGGAGAAGGTGAGAGAGAGATGGGGAAAGGAGAAACCAAAGGCGACGGAGGCGATCAGAGGCGGAGAAGTCGGCGGTCGGGGCTGTACCGCGACGGAGCATCCAGGTTTATTCGTTCCTCTTTTGTTTGGTTATTTTCCCTGTGGTTTCTTTCTCGGTGGTGTTCCGACGAGCCCCGGTTTGTGGCTCGGTCGTCGGAGATCGCCGTGTACAGTGCTTCTTAGTGTAATGCCGGTGCCGCCCGGCCGAGACGTAGGCCCGAGATTTATCTCGGTGACTGAAGTCGTAAAAACTCTCCGTATCTTTCATTTCCGTTTTTCTGTTCTTGCGAGAGTTCGTTATCGGAATGAGTGACGGACTTGCATCGGAGTGACAACGGCAAGGGATCGACGTTATTTACAAGATCCCTGTAATTGTTCATCGGAGTATATTGCCAATATGTTGATGAACACTTTGCGTTCGATTACCACTTTGCGTATGAAGAGGAATACAGTGAATGGAAAAAGGAGAAGAACAGAGGTTTCTCGTTGGAGGGAGAAACTGATTCTGGAACGATCAGTGAAGGAGAAAATCTAAACTTTTCTGCGAATATCGGAACAAATGTGTCGTGGGGAAAGTAGTAAAGGAGCCATGGATGGTACAGCCGCAAATTCAAACAGGTCTTTGATTCTGAAACTGTTTCCCTCTTTGAAGAATTGGAACCTCAAGATTAAGTTTTTGTCGGTTTAATTGCTGGAAGTGTGGTTTTATGTAGAGAAGCCGACATGCCATTAGCCAAAGCCCCGAGGGATTTACGCTAGTGACCGGTCGGGCATGGAAGGAAACGAGAAGTCTGCGGTTAGAAAATCCCCGAAAGTTGTTGGCGTGTGCTCTAGTGACCGGTCGGGCGAAAACGTGTCAACTTATCCCCATGCTTTTTATCTGAATCTCCCGTAAATATTTTTGTTTATTCTTAATCGTGATTAATTTTGTTTGAATTGGTAAATGGTTTTAAAAATCCCCTTTATGTAATTTTTTAAATCATATTTCCCGGTCGAACTGCTCACTATAAAAGGTTCTGTCTCACGTACTGGTTCGATGACGATTTCTAAAGTCGTAGGGAGAACGCGTTTTGCCCTAACGTGCAAACAAACATCAACCCCAAGTTGCATATTTTAAAAACAAAGTCGACGGACAAACATAGGTTCATATTCAGTAACGTTTTTCGCAAAATAAAGAAAAAACAATCTCTTCTATCATATATCTCCAATGGCGGCTTCGTCTTCGTCTTCTTCGCCTTGTAATCGGAGATACGACGTCTTCCCAAGCTTTAGAGGGGAAGATGTTCGCAAAAACTTCCTCAGCCACTTGCTCAAGGAGTTCAGAATCAAGGGCATTGTCACTTACACAGATGAAGATATTGAGAGAAGCCACACGATCGGCCCCGAACTCGTAAGCGCCATAAGAGAATCGATGATTTCGGTCGTTGTTCTCTCGCCCAACTACGCTTCTTCGAGCTGGTGTTTGGACGAACTGGTGGAGATTATGAATTGCCGTCGAGAAAAAGGGTTGATCGTGATGCCCATCTTCTACAACTTGGATCCATCCAGTGTCAGACACCAAACCGGACTATTCGGTGATGGTTTCAAGAGATCTTGCTGTCGGCGAACGGAGGAGGAGAAACAGAGATGGATCCAGGCCTTGAAGCAAGTAGCCGATATCGTCGGCATCCAACCTGAGAATTGGTAGCGCTTTTGGCATCTTTGCTATACATTCTTTTCCTAGATGTACTGAAGCTAGCCCACGTCGAAAACAGGGGATTTGATTATGGCAGTAATCTTTCTCTCATTTTTCTAGGAAGGATGAGGCATGTATGATCGAACAAATTGCAAGAGATGTCTCCAAAGAGCTCAACACTACACCATCCAAGGACTTTGATGACATCATTGGAATCGACGTTCATATGGAGAGATTGATCTCTCTGTTACGCCTTGAGGAAAACGACGTGAAGATGGTAGGGATTTGGGGTCCTTCAGGAATAGGTAAGACCACCATTGCCAGAGCTTTATACAACCGAATCTCCAAGGACTTCCCCCTAAGCGTTTTCATGGAGAACGTTAGGGGAAACTATGGAAGATCTGGTCGTGATAAGTATGCTTCAAAGTTGGATATACAAGAACAACTGTTATCTAAACTGTTGGGCCAAAGGGATATGAAAATACATCATTTAGGTGTCATGCAAGAAAGGCTTCACAAACAGAAGGTGCTCATCATCCTTGATGGCGTTAACAGGCTAGATCAATTAAAAGCTTTAGCCAAGGAGCCGAAGTGGTTTGGTCCGGAAAGTAGGATTATTGTGACAACAGAAGATGAAAATCTTTTGAAGGCACATGGTATCGACCCTAAATACAAGGTTATTTCCCGTCTAATGAAACGGCGCTCAGAACCTTTTCTTTCTAGGCATTCAAACACAGCTCCGCACGATACAGTATGACTGAGCTAGCGATCGAAAAGGCGAAGCTTGCTGGCCATGTTCCACTGGGTCTCCATGTTTTTTGGTTTCACATACACGTGGGAAGAATACAAATAGGCGGATAATGTCGAAACAGCGAATGCTTGGAAAGCGAGGAGCACGTACATTGTAATGAGCCGCAAACGGTGAGCTTGAACAGCAAGAGGTTCCTCGAAACCGTTTGAAGGAGATTGCCTAGCGTTTCGAGTATTGAGTGATTAGATTGAACATTTCCTCCACTTATGATCAAATCTAGTAGCCGTTGGAAATCTCCTTTGCTTCTTTTCCTTGTTGATCCTCCTCTTGTACCCTACAAATATTTTAAGTTTGGTTACAACTGTGAAGAACATGTAAAATAGTTAAAGGTGTAAATTACATATGACTAATGTTATTATTGTGAATCACAGAAATCTGAAAAAGAGTAATCCAAGAGAAACATTTCATGTTCCGAAATTGCAAGTTGTTCCCCTCACGAAAAAATATTTTCACGTATCTTCATAAACCTAGAAACTCAAATAATCCCTTCTTTTATTTTTTTTTACAAACCTAAATATTAATATTGGTATTTGGACCCATCTTTCCCCGAATCCAAGCCCATTCCTTGTGCAAGCCCACAGGCCCATTTTTCTAAATATTAATGTTCATCTCTTTTACACGTCCGAGAACTTCAGAAGCTTCTTTCCTTTAGAACCCTAGTTTCTTCTTTCTTCAGTAATCGATGCATTGACTATTTTTATAAACAAGGAATGGACTTGCTCGTCGATGGATGTTTAAAACAATATGGGATGGAAATTTCGATATTCCCACAAAAGTTTATGGGTATCTTTTAAATTACGAATCCACCCAAAGTTCGTATTCAGTAAGGTTTTTTGCGAAATCAAGAAACAACTCTCCCCTCTATCACATCTCCGATGGCTGCTGCTTCGTCTTCTTCGCCTCGCCATTGGAGATACGACGTCTTCCCAAGCTTCAGAGGGGTAGATGTTCGGAAAAACTTCCTCAGCCACTTGCTCAAGGAGTTCAGAATCAACGGCATCGTCTCTTACATAGACGAAGGCATTGAGAGAAGCCACACGATCGCCCCCGAACTCATACGAGCCATAAGAGAATCGATGATTTCTGTCGTTGTTCTCTCTCCCAACTATGCTTCTTCGAGCTGGTGCTTGGACGAACTTGTGGAGATTATGAATTGCCGTCGACAAAATGGGTTGATCGTGATGCCTGTCTTCTACGACTTGGATCCATCCAATGTCAGACACCAAATCGGAGTATTCGGCGATGGTTTCAATAAATCTTGCTGTCAGAAAACGGAGGAGGAGAAACAGATATGGATCCAAGCCTTGAAGCAAGTAGCGGACATCGTCGGCACGCATTCCACAAACTGGTTAGGTTTTACCATTAATATTTGATTTCTTGATTGATTTGTATCTCTGATTTAAATCAATCACATCTGACATTTATTATCTCTTCATATCAATTCCAATTAATCTTTCACTTTCTTATTTCTAGGGAGAGTGAAGCGTGTATGGTCGAACAAATTGCCAGGGATGTCTCCAAAGAGCTCAATGCTACTCCATCCAGGGATTTTGATGGCTTGATCGGAATTGATGTTCATATGGGGAAATTGATCTCTCTGTTACGCCTTGAGGAAAACGATGTGAAGATGGTTGGGGTTTGGGGTCCTCCTGGCATTGGTAAGACTACCATTGCTAGAGCTTTATATGATCGACTCTCCAAGGTATTCCCACTTAGCGTTTTCATGGAGAACATTAGGGGAAACTATAGCAGATCTTGTCGGGATGAGCATGCTTCAAAGTTGGATTTACAGAAACAGTTTTTGTCTCAAATTTTCGACCAAAAGGATATGGTAATAAGCCATTCAGGCGTCATAAAAGATAGACTGCAAAGTCGAAAGGTGCTTATCATTCTTGATGATGTGAATAAGCTAGAGCAATTAGAAGCTTTAGCCGATGAACCTCAATGGTTTGGTCCCGGTAGTAGGATTATCGTTACAACACAAGATAAAAATCTTCTGAGTGCACATGATATTAACTGTATATACAAGGTGAATTTACCATCCAGTGAAGAGGCGCTTCAAATCTTTTCTTTCTATGCTTTCAAAAGCAAGTCCGCTCGACAAGGTTTTACGACATTATCAATCGAAGTAGTGGAGCTTGCCGGTCATCTTCCATTGGGACTCCGTGTTTTGGGTTCATATATGCGTGGGAAGAGCAAGGATAGGTGGATGAGAGAACTGGCAAGACTCAGAACAAGACTCAATAGAGAAATTCAACAAGTACTGAGAGTGAGCTATGATGACTTGGAACCAAGTGAGCAAGCCGTATTTCTTCACATCGCATGTATGTTCAACAGTGAGGGCATTGATTACGTGATACGAATGATTAGCAATGAGGAATTAGATGTCGGCCTTAGCCTCGACATCATGGGAGATAAGTCTCTCATAGATATATCAACCAGTGGAAGTGTCACAATGCATTATTTGTTGGAACAAATGGGTAGAGAGATCGTTCAACAACAGTCCGAGTATGAACCTGGAAAGCGACAATTCTTGTTAAACACTGAGGAGATTTGCTATGTGCTTGCCAATGAAACTGTAAGTTTTGACAAACTCTAATTATACATTGACTACAAATTCACATTTGATTATTCAAGACAATTTCTTTCTTTTACCATTTCTCAGGCCACAGGGACTGTGTTAGGTATATCGTTGAATCAATCTGCAGTCAGATATGATTTGTTTCTAAGCGAAACAACTTTCCAAAAGATGCCGAATCTCAGATTCCTAAGGTTCTACAAGAAGGGAGTTGAAAATAGAATGCGTTTTCCTCAAGAGCTGGAGTATCTTCCTCGCCTTTGGTTATTACATTGGGAGGGATACCCATTAAAATATATTCCTCGTAGGTTTCGATCTGAGTGTCTCGTCGAACTCACCATGACAGATGGCCGGCTTGAGAAGCTATGGGAAGGAGTTCAGGTTAGATCATCGTTGCTTCTTGTTTGGTTATTTTGGTTACTTTATTATATTGTTTCTTTTTCGTGTCAATGTTATCAACAAAAAATATATAATTCAGTGACAATAATGTCAAGAGATGGAAATTTCTAGAAGGCTTTCATATTTTTTTACAGGAAATTTGTGACTACTGATTTGATTTTTATAACTTATTTTTCCCAACATTTTTAACTTACATTGGTATAGATTTTTAATAGTCATGTTTTTTTGGGGTTTATTATGTCCAGCAATTAGGAAGTCTCAAATTCATGAATTTGGTGGGCTCCAGAGAATTGAAAGAGGTTCCAGATCTTTCAAATGCCACAAATCTCGAGGAATTGCGGCTTGCTTACTGCACAAGTCTGGTGACACTTCCTTCCTTTATTGGTAAGCTTCAGAAGCTGAACTACTTGAACATGTCTGGTTGTCGGAGCCTAGACACTCTTCCTGCCGAAATCAACCTGGAATCTCTCATGGAGATTGATCTGGATGGTTGCGGACGATT